ATGAAGAAATTAGATTTTTTTTTTTTTTTTTATTGGATATGTTTTATAGTAGAAAGTAAAAAAAAAATATATATATATATATATATATTTATTTAATTTCTGATATTTTTTCATTTATAGTGCAAAAAATAAAAAACCCATTGGTGATCAAATACCACCAAAAGAAAGCTCTATTTGTGTAAAAAAGTTATATAAATGTAATTTGTGTACAGGTTTGCATGACCACACAATTTTCAGTTAAAGTAACGCAGTGCCAAAAAGCAAAAAATGGCCTTGTCATGAAGGGGGTAAATCTTCCGGAGGTCAAGTGGTTAACCTAATTAGTTGCAAAATGTTCTTCCAGCTCTTCCTTCTTAATACAACTTTGCCAGCTTTTTGTTGTCCTGTCCCAACTTTTTTTAGATGTGTTGTTGCCATGAATTCCAAAACCAACTATTTTTTTTCTGAAGACAAAGCCTTTTCTGACATTTTTTTTTTATTAGTGTCCCTAGTGAATAAAATGGTGATCGTTTAAAAAAAAAAAAAAAAAAAAAAAAAAAATACACTTTACTGAATTTTAATGCACCCCCCCCCCCCCAAATATCTAACCCAATTTTTGGTAACATATAAAACATTATGTTACACCAAGTAAATAGATACATAACATGTCACGTTTTAAAATTGCACACATTCGTGGAATGGCGACAAAATACAATACTTAAAATTCTCCATAGGTGATGCTTTAAACATTTTTTACAGGTTACCTGTTTAGAGTTACAGAGGAGGTCTACTGCTAGAATTATTGCTCTTGCTCTATTGCTCTGACAATATCTCATATGTGTGGTGCAAATCTTTTTTACACTGTCCCACTAATTTTATTTTTAGCACTTTTATTCCTATTTACAAGGAATGTAAACATTCCTTGTAGTAGAAATAAGGGATGACAGGTCCTCTTTATGGGGAGATATGGGGTCTATAAGACCCCAAATTTCTCCTCTACCTTTACAAAAAAAATTGTTTACTTGCACACCTTAGACCAGAAGTGATGTCATGATGTCCCTCCAGTCTTCCAAGATCATAGGTCAGCCACATGAACCATCAAATCATTTCCCAGGCTCACCGGTAAAAGAGGTAAGCCTGAGAAACACAGGTAGCGGGAGGGAGCCAACCCCTCCCACTGCTTTTGAAAGTGTTCCAGCTGCTAATTTACCGCTCTGACCATTTTCATGAGGCTGAAAAAAAAAAATACCGGGGTTATGGCTGATAGCTTCAGCCATAACCCCAATAAACCACTTGAAAGCTGCAACGTATACAGTATAAATACAGTGGATATAAAAAGTCTGCACACCCCTGTTAAAATGTCAGGTTTCTGTGATGTAAAAAAATGAGACAAAGATAAATAATTTCAGAACTTTTTCCGCCTTAAGCCCTGATTCACATATATGTGGCCGTGCGGGCCTTATTTTGCACGGGCATGAGAGCTCATTCATTTGAATAGACTCCCGTGCCCCATGATACGCAAGGAAGAAGTCCCTGCACTTCTTTGGAAAATGCAGCCCGCACGGGAACCTCGGTTCCCAGTACGGTTGCGTTTTCCAGTGGGGGCGGGGAGCCATTAGAACTAATGGCGCCCGCCCGCGGGTCCGCAGTCCTCTGTGCGGGTGGTGCAGTTGCACGGATTTTCGTGCGGATCCGCAGCGGCACCACCCCCACAGATGTGAACCTAGCCTTAATGTGACCTATAAACTGTACAAATCAATTGAAAAGCAAACTGAAATCTTTTAGGTGGAGGGAAGTAAAAATAAAAAACTAAAATAATATGGTGGCATAAGTGTGCACACCCTTAAACTAATACTTTGTTGAAGCACTTTTTGATTTTATTACAGCATTCAGTCTTTTTGGGTATCAGTCTATCACCATGGCACATCTTGACTTGCCAATATTTGTCCACCCTTCCTTGTAAAAACACTCCAAATCTGTCAGATTGTGAGGGCATCTCCTGTGCGCAGCCCTCTTCAGATCACCCCACAGATTTTCGATCAGATTCAGGTCTGACTGATACCTTTTTAACAATGAGATCCCTCTGATGCTTTTGAAGCTCTCTGTGGACCATGGCTTTTGCTGTAGGATGCGACTAAGAAAATGTCAGGAAAGGCCTACTAGAATAGCTGAACTTTATTTGGGGTTAATCAGAGGCACATTAAATGATGGCAGGTGTGTACTGACTCGTATTTAACATGATTTTGAATGTGATTGCTTAATTCTGAACACACCTACATCTCCAGTTATAAGAGGGTGTGCACACTTATGCAACCACATTATATTAGTTTTTTTGTTTACTTCCCCCCCCCTAAAATATTTCAGTTTGTTTTTCAATTGAGTTGCACAGTTTACAGGTCACATTAAAGGTGGAAAAAGTCCTGAAATAATTTATCTTTTTTACATCACAGAAACCTGACATTTTAACAGGGGTGTGTAGAGTTTTTATATCCACTGTATGTATTATGGTCGGCAAGTGGTAAACATTTGATATGTTTTCTATTAAACATGTCCATTAAAAATTTTTTAAAAAACTAATTTCATCATAAATTTAGGCCAAAATGTATTCTGCTACATGTGTTTACTTAAAAAAATCTCAATACGTGTAGACTAATTGGTTTATGTGAAAGTTATAGTGTTTACAAATGACGGTATATATACTGGAATGTTTTTTTTTTTTTTTTTTTCTACTACTATTGGTGGAGATCAGTGACTTATAGTGGGACTGCGGCGGGCATTCTGACACTGGGGGGAACTGACTTGGTGTCACTGACATCTCCAGTGACACCAACACAGTGATCAGTGCTAATAAAAAGCACTGACACTGTACTAATGGCACTGGGCAGGAAGGGGTTAACATCTGGGGCAATCAAAGGGTTAACTGTGTGCTGTTTTACGATGTGGGCTGTGTGTGTATTTCACTGTATGCTATGCAGAGCCATACAAAGCAGTGTGCAGGAGCTGACAGGGGAGAGATCTGTATTGTTTACATATAGGTCCCTTCCCTGTCAGCAATACTCGGAGATTGCCGAGTGCTGGTGGGGAATCACACCGCTGGGACGTGGTTATTGACAGCTGAGGCCGCCAATGGCGGCACAGGTAGGCTGCACGCACCCTCCATACTCAGTACTGCAAAATCACGTATATATATGTGATTTTGCACACCCATGCCACCCTGTAGCAGTATTTCTACTATAGGGCAGCGTGGAAGTGGTTAAGCAGGCCAATACGTTATACAATGTTCCCTACAGGGAAAGAAAAGAAATCGCTCGATTCCCTCATCAACACAGCCAGTGTTGATGGGGAATCCCTCTCGTTGGCAGGAAGCCTTCCCTGCTAGCAGAATACGATGATTACTGCAGGTAGCTATAGCAGCCAGCAATAATCGCATGGAAAAAAATCTGACAGGCTGGTTGGATCAACTTCAGTACAACCAGCCTGCCCATAGATGGATTGAGACTCAACTGGTTCCCTGCTGAACTGATCCATCCATGGCCACTTTAGAATCCTTTAATCCTGCCTCATGAACTGAACATATTCCTCCACTGAACATTCTGTAACTGTGCACTTTGATGTAATTTACATTCATCATGTATGTGATAGAGACTGACTTTCCTTGCAAAGAAGTGATCTTTTACAAATAGAAACTTATTCACTTTATGTTCCATACAGTAAACCAAAATCAACAGACTATGCATGTTTTCATTTCTTGCATTTCTTCTTGACAACATATTGTTCTATCCTCCCCATTTATTTGGGGATTGGTGGGCCTCTCTTTATATCCTTGTAATTTTGTGTCTGTAACTCCTGTCTTCTTGTGTTTAAAAAAAAGATAATTGATGCTTGGGAGTTGTGCCCAGCTCAGAAGGTGTAGGATTAATGTGACTAAATTTATAAAAATCCATTCCACTCTCCAGAGTGGGTGCACATTTTTCTAAAGCTAGAACAGATAAGTCAATAGGTGTGTACATTATTTGTTAACAAATCTTTTCTCTTCGTGACTCATTTGATGAACTTTCATTCCCCCTTTAGCTCACAGTGTAATTCTAGTCTTTGATCCCTCATGCACTGCTGCTTGGAGTTGTGTGATAATGAAGCAGAAGATGAAACATCAGATAAATTATTGTTCTGTGACCCCTGTGAATGACCCAAATCTGACCTGAATTTAATCAGTGTGGGATTTGTCTCCCAAAACTCCCACTTGTATGCACTTCTTAATTAGAAGCATAACCTATTCCTATACATTTGTTTTCTCTTTTGTGTTCATAATGTTTTGATTATATTTTGCTACAAAATTCGTAAATACAGTCTGCTTGGTCTTATAAAGCGATATTTCTTGAAATGTGACATGATTTTTTTATTATTATTATTATTATAATACAGGATTTATATAGCGCCAACACTTTGCTCAGCGCTTTACAATATAACAGGAGACAATACAGCAACAATGCAGTTCAATACAGAAGGGTTAGGAGGGCCCTGCTCCTTGGAGCTTACAATCTAAGAATGTTTATCAGTTCACCTATTACCCATATCTTTCCCCCTTGCAGTAACCTGCAAGCTTGTGCATCATATTATTGGTACAGATGTTTTAAATTCTGTTCCTAATTCTTTTAAAAAATTTTAGTAATTGGAAGTTTTTAAATACATAATACATAGGGGTTAATATCTTCTGTCAGATATTTGTCAAAAAACTTCACATGCCAATAAAGGTTTGATTTCATCTCTAATAATCTTTCAAATCCAAAAAATTAGATGTTATTCTAGAAACACTGGATGAATTGTTTCCATAGTCTTCCTCAATTCTGTGCATGAAATGTTTCTCCCAAAGATTAGATATTGAATGGTTTTGCTTTAAAATTAAGGCTCATTGGCCATTGCTTCATTTACAGCATACTGAAATGTACAGTATGTGCTACTAATGGGATGATTATTATCAAGTGGCTAAATCTCTCAGTAGCAGAGGTTTAATTTCCCTAGGTTTACTGTGTTCTTGAGTCAAGAATATCATTCGCTTCAAAAATGTTATGTAATTCTTCAGCTGATGGTCTTTTCTTAGGGTCTTTTAAGAGCATTCTCTTTATTTCACAGACCTGAAAAAACATTAAAAATAATGAAAGAAAGAAAGTGAGAAAAGTAAGGAGGAAGGGAAGGCAGCAGTGAACAAGGAAGGGTGCAGAGAGGATTAGTAACTTTTGCCAATGATAGCTCAGTGCTAGTATTTATCATTGCAGAGCTGTTAGCAGAACTGTGAGGATTCAACGAACCAGCTGTTGATAGGTTAGGGTCAGGGATTAGGGTCAGCTTCAGTTTATAACTAAAGTTAGGGTTAGGTTTTAGGGGAGTTAATTAAAACTGGGGGGTAGGCTAAGTGTTAAGGCTGAGACATTGGAAGGATTGAGTGTCAAGAGATGCTTAACAATATAACAATAGTTTGTGACATAGAGGTAGGTTTGTGGAGTGTTTAGGCCAGTAGTGGCCAACCTATGGCACGCAGAGCCCTCTCTGTCGGCACACAAGCCAAGTTTCCCCAGCAGACGAGCATCAGAAAGCAGTGCACATGCTTGGAAAGGAGTAGCGGTGCAAGGCGATGATGTCACGAGCCGTGCCTCATTAGCCGCGACTCGTCCGAGCTTTCACAAGGCCGGTCAGTGCGCTGCCAAGGATATATATATTGGACTGGCTCTGGGTTTTATATTTCAATATTTTTATTGAGAAACTGGCATACAATAGCATAAAATAGCAAAAAAGTCCACCTCCATGGTGGAACGATATATAGAATCACAATCATAGCACTGATAGGCACGCAAAAAGAATTGACTAACAATGGCAATAGGAATATACACAGAGAGTGCCATTACCATCAAGACGTACAGGTTTCATCAATCAATAGACAGAGACTGGACCGTAGAAATAAACCAAATGTAACGAAAACAATTCAGCGGAGAAAGTAGAAAAAGAGAGAAGAAAGAGAGAAAAGAAAGAGGAAACAACTCCTAAGGGAAAAAAGAAAAAAAAAAAAGGGGGGGGGGGGGGGGGGGGGGGTCAGCTGTAAAACTCTCATGATACAGAAATGTAACTAATCCAAGGCTCCCAAGTTCCCTCAAATCTGGACACATCGTCATTGACAATACTTTTATCGTTTACCATTATCCAATTAAGTTTTTGTTTCACCCTGTCTAACGGGATCAAAGATTGTTTCCAACTTCTAGCTATGGTAATGCGAGCCGCCAGTAAGAGGTATAAAATTTAGTTTAGTCGATTTTTTGGGAACGTCAGCGGGTAGTATATGAAACAAGGCCACTTCCGGTGATCTACGGATATTAACTCCTGTTACCGAATATATAAAATTAAACATGCAGATCCAGAACCTACTCACAACTGGACATTTCCACCACACGTGGAACATAGTACCTTCTTGACCACAGCGTCAGAAACAGCTAGATGATACTGAGGGGTACATTTTGGCTAGGCAAGTAGAAACCAAATACCAGCGAAGTAGCGGTTTATAATTGGATTCAATAAGATCAGTGTTAATCTAGATCTTTCATAAAGTATGAGCCGCATTCCGCCATGTATCTAAATCTAATGAACTATTTAAATCCCCCTCCTATTGGGTCATGTAGGATAATTTAGTGAGGGGATCAACAATGGAAGCATAAATAATGGATAAACGACCTCGCATCATCCCACCTGCCCCACAGGAGACATCGAGGGAAGTAAGCGCACAAGGTTCTCAGAGTAATCTAAGTTTGCTAGCGATAAAAGAGCGCAGTTGGTGATAACGACATATTTCTCTGGGAGGCATCTGATATTTTGTCAAAAAATGTTGGAGACCGAGGACGAAACCCATCTAAATAGTCTCCGATACGTAACAGACCCTTATTAATCCACCACTGGAACACTGATGGAGATAGACCCGGGGCAAACTCAGGATTAGCGAACACTGGGGCTAGCTCGGTATGTGGAGAGGAGAAAGGTTTGCGAGCTCGCCATCTATCCCACACCCATAGCAAATAGGATAGAGTAGGACACAAAATAGGAGGACGCAATCCACTGGGAAGCCACATGAGAGTACCAATTGCATATGGATGGCACAAAAGAGCCTCAATCCCAACCCACTGGGGGACATATCCCCTGGCCGTAGTACACGATAACTGTGCTATTTGAGCCACCTGAAAGTATGCCAAGAGATTAGGGAGTCCCAAACCGCCATGCCTCTTCAGGGAAAATAAGGTAGACTTGTTAATCCTAGGGCATTTTCCCCTCCATATAAATCTAGAGACTGCTGCTTGTAGTAATAACAGTTCCTGTTTGGGGACCATGATTGGCAGCGTCCTGAAATAGTACAATAATCTCGGTAAAAAGGTCATTTTAATAGAATTAATTCTACCAAACCAGGAAAGTGGAAGATCCTGCCAATCTAGTAAGTCATTTTTAAGTCGTTTGAAGAGCGGGAGATAGTTGGTCTTGTATAACTTCGATATAGAGTCAAAATATTCCCAGAGGTAACGAACCTTCGAATCGGGTAATGAGATATTTAAGGCAACTGTTTTAGACGAGTTAAGTGTAAGACCAGAGGCCTCAGAAAACCGATGAAACAAGTGGAAGAAACCGGGCAGAGATGTTCGAAGATTAGATACATACATGAGAACATCATCAGCAAATAAGGCGCATTTATGATCCCGTTGACCACAGTAGACACCCGAGATGGTGGGATCAGCGCGAATAGCAATCGCAAGTGGTTCCATTGCCAAAGCAAAGAGCAATGGAGAAAGAGGACATCCCTGTCTAGTCCCTCATTCTATCGAAAAAGGGGCTGATTTATATCCACGAATGGAAACTTGAGCGGACAGAGTAGAATATAGGGCCCGTAACAGCGTCGTAAAATGAGGGCCAAACCCGAATTTGTCCAATGAAACAAATAGTCCCAAGACAGACTGTTGAATGCTTTCCGATTATCCAGTGATAGTAGTAGAATTTCCATCTGTGATGACCCGTCCCAATTGGACTGCACAGCTGACAGCAAAGCTAGAGTCCGACGAATTTGGTAGCTGTGAGTTTTAATACATTTGTTTTAATTAACACAACATTTTAGCTTGTGCTGGTGGTCAGTGGAAACTCTGTTATTGTATTTTTCTTTTAAGACAAAAGATGTTAATGTATGGGTTGTTTTTTTCTAAACTAAAACCTCAGTATTCAGATTTAATTGCAGTGTTGGCACTTTGTGATAAATAAGTGGGTTTTGGGTTGCAGTTTTGGCACTCGGTCTCTAAAAGGTTCACCATCACTGGTCTAGGCTTTTATTTAATTTTGGAGCTGTGAGTTCTGAGATGAAAATTCTCAGCTCTGAGCTTTCGACACCAAGATCTAACATACTAAGCAAGAGGGAAGAAGGGAGAGATTAAAGAAAGTTACACTGAAAGCATGTAAATATAAACTGGAAGCAACACATTTAAAAAGCATTTATACGGATATACCTCAACAGGATAACGCTTTGAAAAGTCCATAGGCAAGTCACCATTACGGATCTTTTTCCATTGCTGCAAGTGAACATAATGAAAACACATTTAACTTCAGCAATCATTCAAAGTATGGTTAACCACCAAGGTCCCTGTGTCATCTTAAAACTGAGCCATGCCAGCATTCTACTGCCCTAGCACATTTTACAATAGCATGTGCTAAAGTATAACTATCCCAAACCAAAACTTAAATATATTGTAACTTATCAGTCATTAGATGTAGTGGCTACATTCACATTCTGCCATTCTGGACAAAGAAAAAAGTTGCACCCACAGGTAATGTAAATCGATAGACAAAGCCCTTCTCAATGTTTTCAGGAAAGTAATATTTCATGTTTTGGGTCTTAGGGAGAGACGATTGTCATGTGTTGGGGAACACCTCAGTGAAACATTTGTAAGGTTTGTGGGGAGGTAGAGTCTTGGCAAAATGCTAACAGAGCACATCTGCAAAATCTAAGAGCTGGGATGCTAAACTTGTGACTATGATCAAGGATATTGAGCAGATACAACCTGAAAGCAGGATTTCTCCCAACAGATAGTTTGCCCCTTGCTCCATTCAATCTGAGGACTATATCAACAGACAGGGAAGACTTAGAATAAGAGGAGCTGACAGATAATCCATCAATAGAAACAAGGTATTGAGTCGGCTTGTAAAAAATGCCAGGAGTCTTATTAGATGTTGCTTGAGATCTGAGGGGCTGACCGATAGGAAAAAATAGAAAATGTTGAAAATTCCTAGGCAAGTTTCCTCTGACCCACCTACATCCTGGAGTTTTCCAGCCTTTTTGTATCAAATTAGAAACATAGTCTGGAGGGTCAACAGCATACAGTATGTAGTAACAGGCCCAAAGCAGGGGAGCTGTAAATAGATTGGTGATCTCAATCTTCCTACTAATTTGTCCCAGACCATATAGTCAGATAAGAAATCAGTAGAAACAGTTCTTACTGTAGATCCTCATCTTTGGTCCTGATAAAGAAGTTGTTGACCTTAAATTGCACATGAAACTGAGTTTGCAAAAATTAGGCATATTCAGTAAGATTCTTCACAAAATATAAATATTTTTTTACATAAAAAACCCACTCTTTGGCTGCAGCCAAAAAGTCTTTACTGGGGGTACTTGAGGATTGAGAGGCAGAGGCTGTAGGCTCAGACACATGCCACAGGGATGATTCACACCAAAATATGGTGCAGGAAAGGGCGTTCCATGAGCGTTTCCCGCACCACAGGTGAATTTGCTGCTCTTGCGAGACACATATGGGTGCCAATGAAATGTTATTGGCAACCCAAACATTCCGGCTACCAAATTGCATGCTACTGCAGTACATGTGGTTTGGTGCCATGAGTTTTAAAAAAGTAGTGCTTGCACTACTTTTTCCACGTTCCAGCGCATTTTGGAGTCCATTCAAATAAATAGGTTGTTAACATGGACTGCATTAGAATGCTCATGTTCCAGTGTGAACCTGCCCTCAGTGACACCACCTTCACCTAGGCAAACAGGCCAGAACCTGGATATAAGGTAAGTACCTTTGATTTTAACTTTGCTAATGGTGCTTTCTATGTTTACACCAAGTGATTTTAGATTATCATAAAATCTATCATATAGTAATTTATGTTAGGTCACAGGTCCATTTTCAGTTCACTGTAGTAGAAATGTTGATGGTTAAATATTTAAACCTTCACAGAATACTTATTTGACAGATGTGCATAAAACAGGCCTACAACTTGTATAATTACTAATTAACAATATTTGAGACCAAGAACAATCACTCAAACTTACATCTACTCTCTCATGCCCTGTGCCAAATACCCATAGAAGTTCGACTAATATTAATCCTAATGCATAAATGTCCACTTCATTTTCATAAACGCTTTCATTTTTCTGTAGAAAAAAAATTAAATGATTATTGTAAAATAAGCAGCTTTCTAAATGTTGGAAAGGAAAGAAAACAATTTGTGCAGTTCCACAGTTATATCAATAGTTTTTATTATTGCTCACATTTCTTTCAAATTCTCCCTCCCTACCCCCCCCCCCCCAATGATTCATAAAAGTATGCATGAATATAATGTGTTTCCCTCAACAGTGTGTTCCCTTATATCTGGGACACATTCTCCTAGTGTAGTACATACTCTCCTGCCTATAGACTTATGTAAGGTGGTATTTTTAGAATTTTTTTTTCCTAAATAAGTTAGAGCTTTGGAGCTTCACCATTACAGGTTAAATTCACACAATAAAATAGACCATGTGATGCAACAATTGGAATGCCTGACTCTAAAACTTCTCTTTCTCAGGTGCCATTAACCCAAGGTTCTTTCTACATCAGTATACTTGATTATTCATTCGATGATGACAATGCAGTCTGTGGTTTTTCATATAAGACTTTATTAATATTATGACTTAGATACTGTATACTGTAAATTAAATCACCTACTATAAGCAACTTATAAAGAAAATGAAAAAAGTCATGTGACTACAGCTATTTGTAAAAAAAAAAGTCTGAATGAGAAAAAAAAAACAGTAAATGTTCACCTGCTCTGGGGCCATGTACGTAGGTGTGCCAGTTCCTTGACTTCGTTCCCGTGCTTTGCTTTCATCTTCGCCGGTCATTTGAGCCACCAGGCCAAAATCCCCTATTTTTATTACCATGTCTTTATTAAAAAGAATATTTGCAGGCTACAAAAAAGGCAAAACAAAGAGTAAACTTCAACTAAAAGGGACTCCATTACGGGGGGATATGGTGGTGGGGAACATCTCATGGTCACATTTACAGCAAATAGATTTGACTTCAAATATCTGACCTTACACAACTGCCTATGTACATATGTGCCCAAATGGTATTCAATTAAACTGAAACAAACATATATATGTAATAAATATTCAAAAATCATGAATCACAATATGTACGTGTTGATGTGTATGACACAAAGTAAACAAATCAAATAAATAATAATCATGACATAGACGCCAAACTGCAACTACCAAAGTGAAAATAATGGCATTGATCCTCACTGCTCCTCCCTTAATAATAAATAAAACGTAAAAAAAAAAAAAAAAAAATCACATCTATATCTTACTTCAACTTAGATCATAGAATCATAGATATGAGGTAGCGCTGTGATCTTAAAACTAGTTAAATGAAATTTCACAATAAACGTGTGCATACAACAATAAAGTACATCATTAGAGTGTCCGTGTATACAGCAGGTAAAATAAGTATTGAACAGGTGCTCCTCGCAAGATTTCTAACACAGGAGTGAAAAGAATTATCAGAAGAGTTGTCCAAGAGCCAAGGACCACTTGTGGGGAACTTCAGAAAGACCTGGAATTAGCGGTTTCAAAGAAAACAATAGGTAATGCACTCAACTACCATGGCCTGTATGCACGCTCACCATGCAAGACTCCATTGCTGAAGAAAAACATGTTTAAGCTCATTTATAGTTTGCTGCACAACATTTAGACAAGTCTGTGAAATACTGGGAGAATATAGTCTGGTCAAATGAGACAAAAATTGAACTCTTTGGATGCCATAATACACACCATGTTTGGAGGTCATATGGCACTGTACATCACCCCAAAAACATCATACCAACAGTGATGTTTGGAGGTGGGAACATCATGGTGCGATGTTGTTTTTCAGCACACAGTACTAGCAAGTGTCATATCATTTAAGGAAGGATGAATGAGAAAATGTACCAAGACATTCTTGATAAAACCTGCTCCCATCTACCAGGATGATGACGATGAAACAAGGGTGGACATGTCAGCAAGACAATGATCCCAACATCAAAGCCAAGAAAACTCTTAATTGGTTTCATAGAAAGAAAATAAAGCTGCTAGAATGGCCCAGCCAATCACCTGACTTGAATCCAATAGAAAATCTATGGAAAAAAATGAAAGATCAGAGTTCATAGAAGAGGCCTTCAAGATTTTAAGACTGACTGTGTGGAAGAATGGGCCAAAATCACATCTGAGCAATGCATGTGACTAGTTTCTCAATAACAGGAGGCATCTTGAAACTGTCATTACCAACAAAGGATGTTGTCAGGAATGGACTTGCCAGTAATGGTGGGACTCACCTGCCTTGTGGGCTGCAGTACCAGGGCTGGCCAGCGGGTGCTCTCATCAATCAGAGACTCAACCTTGCAGCCAGCCAAACACCTGAAGCTGATTATGCAGGTGTATTTAAGGGATGGCCAGACCTGCAGTCTTGGCCTTGGTGTGTGTTTTTTCTGGGCCCCTGTATCTTGTTACCTGCATCCCTGTTCCTGTCCCTGTCTGACTGATTCGTTGCTGACCCTGCCTGATCCGGACCTCTGCTGACTTCTCCTGTTTGATCCCTGGCTTGTGACCCCGACTATTCTCTGCCTGACCCCCTGTACCTACCTGCCCGTTAGTTGCTGTACCCGGCTCGTGACCTGACTACTCTCTGCCTGCTCCTCCTGTTCCTACCTGCCCGATTGTTATTGACCCGGCCTGCCTGACGACGCTTGCATTGTATGTATTGTTATCTGTGGGTGGTTTGGTTTGGTTTGTTTGCACTGTGTTATGTTTTTAGTATTGCACTGCGTTTATGTATTGTTAGTGTTAATAAATTATATTGTTATAACATATCTGAAGCCTGCGTTTCCCTGCGTCAGTTCACATACCTCTGGTCACACCCTGGAGCCCTGACAGATGTTGTACAAAGTATTAAATAAATTTCAGTTAGCATGTTCAATATTTTTTCCTTGTTTCATTCCATTTTATTACACATAATTTAATTTCTGAACATATTTGCTTTGGTTTCCTTGTATGTATGGATTGTTACCGCAATGTGGTGAAAGTTTCATGTCAATAGCACCTTTAGGAATATATTTACTGAGAAAAATGGTGACGTGTTTAATACTTATTTTAGCTGTTGTATATCGAAAAAAAATACAAATAACACTCATGACTTGTGTGGGTAGCAGAAATCAACAACTAAACTTCTCTCCACTCCACGTCATGAAAAATTGCTCAAGACCTTTCTCCCAAGCGTAGTCTCACTCACCAAAATATAATGCCTCTCATACTTAAACGATTGGCATTGAGCACTCACTCAGTGTCATCTGTATCCTGTGATATGAGGTATCAAACTTGGTTCACTTTAGTCAATCCCCATGGACCCCACAGCAAAGAGAAAAAAAAAAAAAGGTATCACACTATCAGAGTCTTTTTTTCCCTTTGCCACAGAGGTGTTATTTTGACTTTGTTTTGATATATACATGGACACTTGAATTATTTATTTCATTGTCTCAATGCACACGTTTATTGTGAAATTTAGTTAAAAAACCAGAGTTGAAAACAGGAGATTACAGCACGAGTCTACTAACCTGTAAGTGACAACTGATATTTCCTGTTAATAGTGTGACTGGGATATGAGTGCTAGCAGGCCTCCCAGTGTTAACGAGGAGGTGGAAACTCAGCTCCTTGCACAGATCAAAATTGCTGCAAAGGCTGGGACAGTGGTAATAATGGGGGATTTTAACTACCCGGAAATTGACTGTAGTATTGGTACTGCAGGAACAGTTAAAGGGCAAACATTTTTAAACCTGCTACAGGACAATTTTATTGTACAGTTCATAGAAGCCCCTACTAAGAATGATGTTCTTCTAGACCTGGTAATCTCAAACCATTCAGAGCTTATTATGAATGTCCATATAAAAGAACATCTGGGTAGCAGTGACCATAACCTGATTTCATTTATTGTTAGCTGTAAACTGCAAACACATATGGGAAAAATAAAAATACTCAATTTCAAGAGAGTTAATTTTCCAAGGCTGCTCTCCAGGACTTAGTTAGACTGGGAGGGAATATTGGCATCGATGAACACAACACAGAAATGGGAGTTTTTCAAAAAGAATGTACGTGAACACACTGCAAAATATATTCCCATGGGCAACAAGTTTAAAAGGCTAAAAATAAAACCTATGTGGCTTACGGCCAAAGTTATAAAAACTATAAATAATAAGAAAAGAGCTTGTATTAAATATAAAAATGAAGGAACGCTATCATTGTTTAAACATTACAAAGAATATACCAGAATATGCAAAAAGGAAATAAAGGCTGCAAAAATTTAAAATGAAAGACAGATTGCAAAAGATAGCAGAACCAACCCCAAAAATTCTTCAAATATATTAATAGTGTAATGGTCCGAGCATGCAGGCCCTTTACAAAATAATCTAGAGTGGGTGACTGGGGACAAAGAGAAGGCAAATTTATTAAAATACCTTCTTCAGTTCTGTGTATACAAAGGAGCATGGGGGAGCTTTTGTCCATAATGGGCATGGTATTGACACAGCTCCAGATGATCCACATTGGCTCACAATTGATATGATCCAAAAATATTTAGACTGTATAAAGGTGAATAAAGCACCTGGACCAGATGGCATACACCCACGGGTCCTTAAAGAATTGAGCTCTGTCATTTTAAAGCCATTGTTTCTAATTTTTAGGGACTCTTTAATGACTGGCATGGTATCACTGGATTTGCGTAAGGCCAATGCGGTGCCTATATTTAAAAAGGGATCAAAATCTTTACCAAGTAATTATAGACCTGTTAGTTTAACTTCTATATTTGGGAAGATACTGGCGAGTTTACTAAAAGACCACATAGATGAGTTCTTGCTGGAAAAAAATATTTTAGGCAACAGACAGCATGGATTCCTGAAAGACAGAAGTTGTCAAACAAATCTGATTTCTTTTTATGAGGAGATGAGCAAAAACTTGGACAGAGGGGTGGCAGTAGATGTGGTATACTTGCATTTTGCAAAAGCATTTGACACAGTTCCCCACACAAGGATAATGTGTAAGGTAAAGTCTACGGGCTTAGAAAAATCTGTATGTAAATGGATAGAAAACTGGCTAAAAGATCATATTCAAAGAGTAGCTGTTAATGATTCATACTCTGAATGGTCTGGGGTCATCAGTAGTGTACCCCAAGGTTCAGTGTTGGGACCCTTACTTTCTAATATATTTATAAACGATATATGGTCTGGGATTAAAAATCCCATTTCAGTCTTTGCAGATGACACCAAGCTGTGCAGTGGAATAACATCCTTACAGGATGTCTCCAACTTTCAAGCCAACCTCAATGCACTGTTTAATTGGGCAACTATGTGGCAACTGAGGTTTAATGTTGATAAATGTAAGGTTATGCACTTGGGGGCTAAGAATATGCATGCATCATCATACTGGGGGGGGGGGGGGTACAACTGTGGGAATCAATGGTGGAGAACAATCTGGGAGTTCTGGTAGATTACAAGCATAATAATGGCATGCAATGCCAAGATGCGGTTTCTAAAGCGAGAAAAATCCTCTCTTGTATTAAAAGAGATATAGACTCCAGAGAGAGAGATATCATATTACCCCTGTACAAATTATTAGTAACACCTCATCCGGAATATGCAGCTCAATTTTAGGCACCAATTTACAAAAAGAACATTGGGGAACTGGAGAAAGTACAGAGAAGGGCAAACCAAACTGATACGAGGCATGCAGGAGATCAGCTATGAGGAAAGATTAGAGGAACTGAATGTATTCTCTCTTGAGAAGAGGAGATTAAAGGGGGATATGATCAACATGTATAAATACATCAGTGGTTCATATAGTGAACTCGGTGTAGAGCTATTCACCCTGAGGTCACCACAGAGGAC